TGCTTTGTGTTGACTCCTTAGCACGTGCCCGCTTGCTCTTGGAAACCTCCTCTTCCTCCTCTGGCTTTGGCTTGGAAGGCTTTCGGGACCTCTTTGGCTTGGACTCGCTTGGCTCGGCTTCTAGCTTGGATCTGCGGACCTTCTTTGGCTTGGGCCGAAACTCCTCGTCCTCCTCCTTTTCCTCAAGCCCTTTTCGCGAACCCTTTCGGCCCCGACGTCGCTTGGACTCCGGCTCGACCGGGGCAGACTTCTCCTTGGAAGCCTTGCGACCACGACCTGGCTTTGGCCTTGACTCCTGCTCCTCCTCTTCCTGCTCTGCACAGCTGGCTTTGGGCTTCCGACCACGACGTGCCTTCGGCTTCTTATCCACTTCGGCGTCGTCTTCAGCCTCGGCCGCTTTCTTGCGGCACCTGCGTGCCACAACCGCCGGCTCGGGAGGGTCGCTGCCGGCTGCCTTAGCAGCAGCAGCAGCAGCATGCTTGCCCTTCTGATCTTTCTTTTTCTTGGCTCCACCTGAAGCCATCTGGCCCTCCTTGGAACCACAGCCAACGTCATCCCAGCAAGCAGGCCTGTCGAGCTCTTTCGCTGCTCGGCCCTCGTAATGCACCGTTGCATCTGTTAAGCCTTCGTCCTCATCATCTTTGTCACCGGCCTTGGTATCCGGAATCTCGTCCTTGGCATCTTCGGTTTCAGAAGACCTAATCTCCAAGGAAACCCCATCGTCGTCCTCAGCAATTGCACTTTTCATAGCCAAATCAGGAACCTCAGTCTGCAAGGATGCTGCAGATTCCGTGGGTCCCTCCATAGGATCTTTGCCTTCTGGTCCGTCACCCGAGGCATCTGCACTGCCACACCGAATGTCACAGTACATCTGACACAGCTCTCGCAATGGCCCAGCTTGAATGTCCCTGGAGTAGGTCACGACCGATCGTCTATCTTTCAAGGAGTGGTGCCCTAAGATGGTGCAGGAGTCCTTGGACATGTCCGTCTTGCTTGCCCACGACAGTGCAGTATGCTTGCACGAGTGACCCTTGAGATCAAACCCCATGCTCTCATCCCCAGACTTGAGGATCGAAGAAATCCAGGTCACAAACCTGCCCGTCGGAATCCGGCGACCACTCCAAGACCCATTGAGCATAGGCGACTGCAGCAAAGGCAGGCTGCAGGATCCGGTGGCGACCGGATGGCCCGACAGGCGCCACACCTCAACCCAAGCTTTGGCCCAAAGACCTTGACCCACACCCCGCTCGGGGGCCACTAGGCTCAGCTCGAGCCCCAACGGGTTACCTGTCGAGGCACACTTGTGTGACGTCGAGATGCACTCAAGGAAACCTTACCCTCTGCAAAATCGATGAACATTGCCTTGACTGCCCTCACATCCCCTACACGGGCTCGCGAGTGAATGCAAAACAAGCAAGCACCTGCAGCATACCTATCCCTTGCATCACGGCGGCTGTCCTGGACAAAAGCCTCAAGGTATGCCACCTCTCGAACCTGGAAAGGCCTGGCCTGCACACGAGGCGGACGGTTGAACCGCACCTTGCGAAGTCGCCCTTGCACAAGTGGGTGCTTATGAGGCTCACCAGTGGCATCCACACCCAAAATGAATCTAGCGAAGTTGCACGCTTCAATGCAAGATCCGAACACAGAATGCGAGGCACCACTCTGCTGCAAATGCTGGGTGTACTCAATCAACACCTGAGAGTCAATCGGGAAAGCTGACATGCCTTGGTTCGAGCACCATCCCACCAGGCGGGCGAGACTGGACAACCGCTTCTTCAAAGTCGAGAGAGCCTTGCCACCCAGGGCTTCGGCAACAAGACTGACCCGATCTGTTTCGCACTTGTCCTTCAACAGTCTGCCAAGGGAAGAGCATTCGTATGCATGACTCAAGAGGATATCGTATCTCGTTGCAAGCAACTGCAACTGTTGCTCCTCAGTTTCTTGGGGCTTCTGAAATTTCCTGGCAGAGAAAGCGACCTGCGCAAACTGTGAAGCATGCTCTTGGGGGTGAGCCTTGGCAGCTGCCTCCTCGAAAGAAGCGGAATCCAGGGGCTCCGTCTGCAGAAGAGCTGGTACACTGCACTGGGAAAGTGAACTCAGGTCGCTCTGCGAAAACACTGCTCTCATCGTCCCGCGCTCCCAGGGCATCTTGAGGGAATGCTTGGACACATGTTTGTCTGCAGCAAGCAACAGCCTGTCGAGCGGTCGCGCCATACCCCAGAATATGCGAGCGCTCACCTACGTTGGTAGATCCGGCTCAGGCGGCCACGAGCTCGGTGCACAAGCTCAGCAATTGTACAGAAAATGTAGGCCACAGCTCTGCAACTAGCCCGCAAAGGAAACAGTCGATCAACGCCAATGCTGAGCAAAATGTGGGCTCCGGCTGAGGCTGCTCCTAAGAACTGAGGAATGCCCAAGCAGGCTGGCGGGTCGGGGCGCAAAATAGCAGACTGCCAGCCTCGAAGTGTAAGACGCTCCCAGAGCCAGAGGAGCAGAAGACGCCGCAAGGCAGGAGGCGGGCGCTGAAGCCGGCGCCGATCCATGAAGGACCCCGACTACGCGGGGAGCTAAAGCCTTGCGCAAGGGGCCCGGAACCTGTTAGACGAGAGCAACAAGCCTCTAGAGGGCCCCGACAAAAAAATTTTCTCACGCCTGCAAGCAAAACTGCGAATGCCACTGACATGCATGGCAAAGCAAACGTGAGAAAACAACATGTCATGCAAATAACCCCCGCAAGACATGACTGGAAAAAGTGCGCCCGAAAATTGTAAACAATTTTCCAACATGAAAACAATCAAATAAGAAAACATCCCCCTTCGGGAGAGGTTGTTCATCCCATAGGACCGAACACAAAGCTCCAAGTTCTCGAACTTCAATGCGCTCTCGATTGAGCGCACACCGAGTGCGCACGAGCAAAATGCTCAGTGCCACAAGTACGCATAGCAGCCCGCAGAGAATCACAAAAGAAATCACATCATGGCTGCTTGACGTCGTCATCGTCGTCGTAGTTGTAGTGGAAGGCTCCACCTCTACTCCATACAAGAAACCGGCCGAAAATGACCCAAGGCTCCAAGCAACTGTTGCCAAAGTGGCACCAATAGCATACACTGCCCCACGACGGTACCATGGCCCGCCGGGTGCTGCAATGTACAACCATCCTTCATCGCTGTTGACAGCGCCATGCTCTGCTGTACTTTCCATAGCATAGATTGCCATGCACACCGAAACAAGCACTGCAAGAAAGAGGCATGCACTCATGTTTGCAACTGTCACTGAACTCGCCTCTGCAGGAATCGGCATCATAAGCAAAAGCATTGCCACTCGCTTAACCCACGTGCTCGATGCATCATGTCCTACCACTGTTCGAACACGCTTGACCTGAGCTTTCATCGACACCGAGATGACCGTCTGCTCCCACTCGCTCTCCCCGATGGGCCTTGAGTAGCAGTCCACAAAGTCATGCAGGAATAGCAGCGATCGCAATCGGCTTGGGGCAAGTGGCTTGGTGTGAAGGTCTCCTAAATTGAAGTGAGTTGAGATGTACTTCATGATAAGACGCTTCTGCTGAACAATGTCCTGTAACCAAAGTAGCCGGCCCTCAAAATGCTTGCTAGCCTTTGTGACTCCCTGACGCAAACAGAAAGCTTTGCAAGACTGATTGTCAACGTACACGATCAGGTCGCAGGGGCTCCGGCTCATAAACTCGATCACAGCCTTCATGAACAATCCCTGGCACGCGCTTCCCACAGCACTGTAGTATTCGCTTTCCATCGAACTCAAACTGATACACTTCTGAGATCTACATATGTAGTGGACGTACTGCCCATTCACGCAGAAACTCGCCCCGCCGTACGAACGGCGATCCTTCTTCGACCCCGACCAGTCAGCATCCGAAAACACTTCCAGCACAGCACGCTCGGAGTCATCTGCACAACCAGAATCATACACATGACTGTTCAGCTTTCTGGTCCCAGGGGCTGCAAACTTCATCAGGATCCCATAATCACTTGTGTTGATGAGGTACTGTATCAGTTTGATCAAACCAACCTTTGCATGCTCCGTCGGCCTCGCCATGTAGCTTGCAAGCATGCGCACAGCATAGCCAACATCGGGCCGATCACATGAAATGTACAAGGCGGTCCCAACTGCTTGTCGGAATTTGCTTGCATCGTTGTGGTTGAGCTCACGGGCGGTGTCCTTAGCACGAAGTTCACTCCAACATGGCACTCGTTGTCTGTTGTTTTGCGTGACATTCATGGTCTGCTTCATCTGCTCAATGTAGGAAGAGGGCTGTCGAATCACGATACCCTGGTCTGTAATCGTATGCACACGCTTGAGAAAACTGAAGGAGTGACCCACCTCATATGCAAGCTCATACGTGATCTGAAACCGTTGCTCAATCACTGGAAGAAAGCACTCGCGGGCCCACTGGAGCGGCAAAAGAAGTAAAGAGTCATCCACATGAATCATGCCCGGACCCTTGTCTGCACAAACTCCATCGGACCCTGGCTTGCTGCTGACGTGCACTACCGCAGGGCACTCTTTGCACTTTTCAACCACAAAGTGCTCTCCGAGATACTCGCAGAAATGGGAGAACCACTGTTGCGATCCTTCGCGTTGCCCCGGCACCATACGCATGAACACGAGGTCTCGTCCTTGCACTTTGGAAACCACCGGAGTCGGCTGCGGAACCTCAAGGTACGCGTCTTTCACATCGAGCGCCAGGATGGCGTACTGTTCCGAAGGTCGTGTCTGCTTCCAGGTCAGCCATTGCGCCGGGATGAGGCGCACAATGTCAGTGCTCGTCGCAGGGCTGAATAGCCCCTCCTTGGACTCATCCAACCACCGAAACTCTCGAGCACAGAGTCTGGATCGGCGGTACCATGACGGAACCCCGTTCCGTTTCTTGTGCCGCCAAGTACGGACAAACTTTGTAGTGAGGCTCTTCATCGACGCCAAATCATCATCACTCGTAGCATCTCTCAGCACAGATTTCTTCAGCAGTCTGCTGACCTCGACTCAGCGAGGTCGTCGAGCTCGGCCAAAATGGCATCATCGAGCTCTGGTTCCTTTCCATTGTCAGGAAGCCACAGTCTGTCATCATCCTCGGCCACCTCCTCTTCGGGATCGGCCTTGAACTCACTTGTGAAACTGTCATCCATCTCAGGCTCCATAGACCAAAGCTTGGCCTGAACTTCCCAGCCATCGGGCTGATCCAAGTCGAACTCGCCTTCATCATTCACCTCGTACGACTGCTCACCAAAGGTAACAGCACGAATGCGCAGCTTCTTCAACGGTGGCAGCTCGGCTTCAGGAGTACTGGGTGGATCGGGTCGCATAGACGGATTCGGCCCAGGAAGCTCTTCTGTAACGGCCATGCTCTCATCTGGAATCGCTCGAGCACTTTCAGGAGGAGGCACATTGCGCCTTGGAGGCGCCATTGCTCCGGCCCCGCCCAACGGCGTAACCGGCATCCCAAGTGCCTCAACTGCAGGAGTCGGCGGCTCGCTCGCGGCCTCATCAGGGGACCTTGGCGGTGCTGCATCAGGCAGCGGGTCGACAACTGGGTTTCGCTGCTTCGGCATTGCAACAAACTTGGTCCCTATAACACCGCTCCCGTAATCCCAGGGGTAGCCTTTCAGCTCACGATATAGCTGCACCTCAAGCTCCCACGGTTGACCCACACGACGGATGGATCGTGACAGGCGGATCCCATCCTTGCCAGCAATGATGTACATGTCGTTGAGCGAGGATTTGCTCACCAGGATCCCAAGCATCCACCGCTTGTCGCCTTTCTGCTTAACATCAAGCTGGCAGTAGACAGGTTCGGCGAACGGCGCAATTCGCCCACTGTACTTAGCCCCACAGGCCCTTTCATAAGCTGTCATGTTGCCAATGACTCTGTATCTGTTGAGCAGCCAGGCACTGTGCACAAACGCCCACGCAAACAACACATGTGTCGTGGGTAGTGGAAGGCCGGTGCGGTGACGCGCCTGATCAAGCAAGGTGTTTGCGAGTTTCCGCACTGAGTCGATGGCCTTCTCACAAAAGCCTAAGGAACCTTTGGCACCTATAGCAGGATTTTGCACGAGTGTTTGCAAACCGAGCCGTTGCCGGGCCGTGACGATGGCACGCTGAAGAGTCAAAGTGGAGGGCTCGTTGTCACACTTCAAAGTCACAGTGGTGTGACCGAGGCTCTTGATGAACCTCATAAGCTCAATGCCTAAATACCTCGTATCACCCTTGGACTCGCAAGGAATCGCTGCGATCATTCCAGTTGCGCTGTCGTGCGCCACAAGACACTTGAGTGCACGCTGGGAGTCCTCGGGAACATCATCGAGGTTGCAAATGCCGTCCGGCACGCTGTAGCCTGAAAATGAAAAATCAAATTGGACAATCGGGTTGTCACGCGGGCCCTCCTTCAAGTACTCACTCCGGTCTGGCATCGCCCGCATGCTGATGCAGTGTGGGCACCACGGCTTGAAAGGCAGATGGGTGCACTCATGGAGGAATCGTTCCGCCTCAGTGGGGGCGGCTGCGACCGGCTGAACCCTTGGTTGCCTCTCGCCTGAAGACTGGGCATCGGCAGCAAGCTCCAACTCTAAGGCCAAACGCTGCTTCTCAAGATATCCCTTGACACGGGTGAAGAGACGGGACTTGGAGCCGGCCGTGCTGAGGTTGAGCTTGGCTGCTGCAGTTTTCAAAACAGCGAGGCTGGAATCATGCGAGATGAGCACACCATCAAGACTCAGCGGCTCGACATCGCCGGCTGGCACTCCAGCTTCTAACTGGTCGGGCAGTGGCATTGGCGCTGGGCTCGATTGTCCAGCTGCATCCTCTAGGCCCTGCATAGCCTCATCTTCGGGCACCACACGGTCATGCTCAACTGTCCCGACAGGCGCTTGCTCAGTCTCAGCTCGAAAATGATAAAAATCTGGCTCAGGCAAACCTTGGGGTTCGGTCATGCCTGCAGGGAGCTGCACACCTATTTCAGACACTGGCTCAACCTGCACATGCAAAAATGAAATTACCTCGGCAACCTGACCTCTGGGCAAAACGGCTTCAACCTCCTTCAAGTCAGCCCACGGCACGCAGTGTTCAAGCAGAAACCATGTCCCACTGCGGCAAATGAGAGTGCTCCTGAGAGGCCAGCCGATCGGTGCCATGGCACTCGGATCCACGAACCTACTTGTGCGGCCTCTCCACACCAGGTGCCCAGACGTACTGACTTGCCATCCAAAATCAAGGGACTCGAGTGTCTTAGCATCAAACCGCACCTGGATGGACGCAACATGTAGCTTGCTGTGGCACACCTCATGGACCTCGCCTGTGGCTTGAAACTGGGACTGACTGGACACGGCATCACACACCTGTTGGCTGTCGGCATCACGGACCTGTTGGCTGTCGGCATCACGGACCTGTTGGCTGTCGGCATCACGGACCTGTTGGCTGTCGGCATCACGGACCTGTTGGCTGTTGGCATCACGGACCTGCTGTTGGCTGTTGGCATCACGGACCTGCTGTTGGCTGTTGGCATCACGGACCTGCTGTTGGCTGTTGGCATCACGGAGTCCTGCATGAAGCTCGCCTTCGCTAGCCTCATCCTCTGAGTGATTGTTGGCCTCACCTGCACCTGGATTGTAGTAAATCACGTCTGGCTCTTCATGCTCCACACGGCGAATCTGAGCGTTCACTGCAAGGGAGTATCCTTTGAACAGCAAAGGCACCTCGGCACCACTCCGCGGGTGGCGCAAGCACATCGAACCTTCGCCTGCATTGTCACCTTGGCCTTGGCGAATGGGCCACCATCCCTTGCGCATGAGCCGTCCAAGGCTCAACAGCGGTTGCGTCACGTTCGCAACAATGCACCGCTCGCGAATCACAACGGGCTGGGGCCCGCCAAACAGCACAAAGTCCACCAGGCGCTCTGCTTGCACATGCATCGCACCTCCTTGGGCATCTTGCACCTGCAGCGGCCTTGCACGGGCGGCACGACCACACGACTGGAAAGTCTCAGGGATGCACGAGATATCGGCTCCCGAGTCAATGATCACGCATTGGCCTGCTCTAGTCACTGCTCGAACACACGCAGTAGCAGGACTCGGCACCAAGTCAAGCACAGCATAGTCATCAGGAGGCAGAGTCCACTGATCGTCATCATCCTGGGCATCCATTGCAAAGCTCTGTGGCGCAGTCACAGTAATCATACAGACATTGGGCTCATAAGGGAACGGATCCTCCAGGTCAGACATATCGAAAAGCAGTGGCTCAGCCGCAACACGGCGAACGGTGGACTGTCCTGCCTTGCCTTGCTGGGCTTGAAGGGCACTCGCAGAAGACGGGGCAGTCGTGCTAGTGCCAGCATCGGACGCTGCAGAAGAGTTGGCCTGAACCTGCCGGGCACCTTTCTGATGGCCTTGCATGTAAGCCTTGTACTGAAAGCAGTCTCTCTTGTAGTGCCCCGGCTTCTGGCACCAACCACACACGGAGGGCCAATTGCCCTTGGCATGGCCACCTTTGTCCTTGCCTCCCTTGGCTTTGCCCTTGTCGCCTTTGCCTGCATCGCCTTTGCTGCCTTTGGGCTTGCCTTTGCCATCCTTGCCTTTATCGCCTTTGCCGCCTTTGGGCCTGCCTTTGCCATACTTGCCTTTGTCGCCTTTGGCGTTCACACGGTCTACATCCATCGGCGCAACATCGCCGGTATCATGCAAACCTTTCTTGCCAACACTAAGCCCATAACTCGAAGCAACACTGGTTTGCCACTTCGTGTTAGCACCATCCCAACGCAGCACAAGTTCACGGAGGTCACTGTACGTGCTGTCGTCAGAAATGACTACATTGGCATGCTGGCGCAATTGTCCTGTCAAGCAGCTGAGGAGCGTGGCCATCTTGTTGTTCTCGGGAAGTCCGCCTGGCTCGAGGCGTTCATACTCCTCAAAGGCACTCTCGAGTCGCAGCAGTTGCTGAGCAAGTCCTTGTTGGGCCGCAAAGGACGGCCAGCTGTTGATTGTTCGCAACAAAGCTAAGACGCGATTGCGAGTCTTTGGCATAAGATCCTTGCTGAGAAGCCTCCAGGCTTCAAATCCATTCTGATCCTGAACAGATCGCAGCAATCGCCTGCCGCGCTCATACAATAGGCCATTCAGCATGCCGTACAGTAGCCGAGACCGCCGCTTGGCATTCTCGTCCAAAGAACTCAAGATCACTGCTGTCTGCTGCCGGCCATAATCACGAAGCTCACTGCTGAACTCAGGTTCCAAGCATGACAAATACTGTTCGAACGTCCAGCTCCACTGAGGCCATTGCGCAAACTCCTCATCACGCGTAGTGGGCCGGAATGGATCCGGCTTCGGCAAAACCTTGGTAAGGTCTCCAACTCCCATAGGTCGGGAACCTTGAGCAGTGCTTGCAAAAGCGGCGGCTTGAGCAGCCGCACTGGCAGCTTGCGTAGCCTCTGACATGCGTTGCATAAGAACTCTCAAGTCGGCAGCTGTCATAGCAATCTCAGTGCCAGCATTGGTGGGGCTCGTTGGCTGAAAAGGGTTTGTAGGCGTTGGCTGTGCAAAGGGCGCAGGACCAAATGGTTGCGCTGAGGCTGTGGCTCCAGAGGGGCCTGTAAGCTCCTCATCTGTCTCATCACCAATATTCGCCATTGCTCTGTAAAGCAGGGCAATCAATCAATATCAATCACCTCCTTGCAACTGTTCAAACAAAGATTGGCACCAAATGTGCGTCGGGGCGCGGGCCCTTGCAAATCAATCGGCTGGTCCGGCGGGGCCTGCAGTTCGGAGAACGCGGCCTCACTCGAAGCAGCACCTGTAGAAAAACTAAAAGCTTCCAAATCTCGCTCAAACAACTCGCGCTCCTCTGTCGCAAAAACTGTGTTGTATATCAAGGCTTCAGGAATAGCTTCTTCACACACGTCGTCAACTGCAAAGAACCGGAAAACTTCCTTGAGGTGGCTGTCCTTCAAACACCGGTGGGCAAAGTCCCACACCTGCTGAGGAGTTTCCAGAGAAGCCAAGTTCGCCTCCAGCGAACGTTGGGCGGTACTCAAGATATTCTGCCACCCTTCAGCGGATCTGCCAGGAGGGCGTTCACGCTGCAGCAATTGCTCAAGATGCAGTTCTGTGACTCTGGCCTTGATGGCCTCCAGAGAAGCCAAAGAGGCAGCCGTGCTGCCGGAAAGAGGCGCGAGCGAATCGGGGCTGAAGGTGACTACACACCTAGGCCCTCAACCCAAAAGTCAGAAAAGAAAAGTTCAAGCCCGATGGCCCCTGAACAGAACCCAAAGGAGGTTCACGTGTCTCGAAGCTGGGTCGGCCCAGCTCCGCTACCATGAAAACGTAATCGGACTTTTCCACAAACTCAGAGCCTGGTAAGTAGCGGAGTTCTGCAATTCACAATGTGCTCCATGAAATTGGGCTCATGCCAAAATCACGTGTTAACACATGTAAAACTGTTCAAGCAACGTGTGTACAAAGGGCAGGGATGTAATGTTTCATCAGAAGGAAAGCTACTTCCTCCGTGATCTCCTTGAGGCGCGTGTGTGTCCACAGCACCGACTTCTCGATGCCGTCGAGTCGTTGCATCACATTGTCCATACCTTGTGCTACTGATGCTTGAAGACGTTGAATGCAAATGATGATGTTTGTTTCTGCAGCAACCTCGTCCTCGTCCAATGCCTCCAAAGCCTCCGCCTCCTCCTTAGCCTGTCTCTTCCTCTTCTTTTTCTTGTCTGGTTCGTCGTGGTTGTCGTGGTGGTGCATGGTGTAGATGTTGATGCCCATGTACATCAGAACCACCAAAAGTAGAAGCTCCATGACGGTCACCATCACTAGGGGCAGGAGCTACGTGGGCAAATATCAAATAGTTGCTATGCACGCTTGATTTGGCACAATCCTGCGTCACACAGTCAGAGATTCACATTCAAACCAAGCGCTGAGGTCCAAAGTCACCCCTGCACGGCTTCACCTCCCTCCTACCTTCTTCCCTTTGGGGCGAGCACTCATTGCATCACACAGCCATGGACTGCTCGTGCTGCACCGTTCCTGAAACTGCCACGTCTGAAGCACAGAGTTTACAAGTGCCACTGCCCAGCCTCCAGTGAGCATGTTGGTGTGCTCGTCCGTCGCGCTTCTAGGTGAGGAGTACGTAGGCCTTTCGTGCTAGAGACATCACCGCCGAGCTTAAGACGTGCCACTTCCCAGCCTCCAGTCAGCATGTGCCATGAACCTCACATCATCCCAGCAGGTTCATGGTTCGGGACGAGGTACCTACCAGTCCCGAACCATGAACCTTCTGGGATGATGCAGCCACCGTCAAGGCCTTCCTGCACCTTCCTGCAGGTCACAACCAGGCGCAGCAATGTAAGGATGGATTCTGGCAGTCCTCGTAGATCTCGGCGATCGGGATCGTTGTGACTGAGTCGGACTTAAATCTAAGTCATGTCCCCCGAATTGCAGGTGAGTTTGGCGTTGGGAGGGGCATGCTAGGAATCTGTCTGTATGCTTTACTTTTTTATGGCTCTGGGCCTGGATTGCCGTGCGAACGAGACAGCTGAGGGCCTTGCCGCCTGCTTGCATTCTTGCGTGCTGTAGCGGACCTTGGATGTAACTACGTGCTGTTCTTCCCAAACCATCCACAACAACGTGACTGAGGCGTTGGCATGATACTTGAACTGGTCCACTCCACGTCTCCATGTCCCAGCCTGGCGGGAAACCTCAATGAACCAGACCAGATTGAACAATAAACTTGCCTCAGGATGGGGCAAAACCAAGTAGGCCACACCTGTGCGAGCAGAGCAAAGCAATCTTGTTATGGGTTCGACCTCAGGGAGCATGAACGACAGAAGGCATCGCCGGAAGGTTTTTTGCCTCAGCGTACTGTCTGCTGAGTGACGATTTCAAAAACTCTACGCGCAGGGATTAGGCTTCCTGTGCATCTGTACGTAGAGAGGCCCGGGCCAGGGTTTCTCTCCTACCTGCTATTTGTTTGGCACCAATTAGCTGACGTCTCCCAAACCTGGTGTGTTCCTCTTGGGAAGCTGCGTGTGAGCCTGGAGAATCACTGTCCTAGCGCTGCTACTGTCTAGGTCCGTAACTACATCAGGGCTCACAAAAACTTCCTAGTGTACATGACTCACTGATGGGGAGTCTTCCAGTCGTCATCTTCATACTTGAAGCAACCTTGCTTCCACTCGTCGCCCTCCTTTTTCTGCTGCTCCTTCTGCTGCTGCTGAAACTTCGTCCATGCTGTGACAGGCGGCTGCTTCTGCTTCGTATTGTCCTCGTTCCACTGTTCCCACAAACGCTTTGCCTCTTCTGCCTTCTCCTGTTCTGCCAAACGTTTTGCCGCTTCTTGCTCGATCAACTCTCGTTGAGCCTGCTCTAGTTCCTCTTGGGTGTCGCACCATCGGTCAGTCTCCTTGTGGAACTGGATGATGTCGTGCCACAGCTGTCTTCCTTTTATTGGTGGGTCGGCATGACCTCCCTTGCACCTGTATGCCTGCATTCTTTTGTTGAACAGCCACTGCCATCCTTCAGCCCAGAAGACTTTAATTTCGTCCTCCGCTTGAGTCTGTTGCGGCTGGCTGTCGGGGTGCGTGCTGTCCCCGTCGGCATTTGTGCTCGTATCTGTGTCACGTTTGTCTGCTTCTATTTCATACTTCTCCAAAAAGTCCGTAATCTTCCCTAGCTTCTCTTCCATGGACTCTTTTCTGAAGCGAAGAATCTTGAGCTCTGACTCCAGAGCGGCGACTATGTCGGGTAGCTTGCCAAGCTCCGACACGAGCTCCTCTTGCTTCTGTCTCAGCTCGGCTATCTCCAAGAGGATGTTCTTCATCTTGTCCCCTAACAAGGAAATTTCCGTCTCGGAGCTCTGAACTGTCTGCATAGATCCGTGCATAGTGTGAACGGCGGCCACCATGCGTTGGACCGCGGCCTCTGCACGTTCCTGGTAGTTCTCGGGCTCCAAATCCTTGGCTTCCTTTGGCGGATCCTTGCCATGCTGATCTCCTTGTTCTGATAGTGCTTCATCTTTGGGCTTGCTTTCCTGCTTTGTTGGTGCTGTTGGATCTTGTGGTTGTGCTGTGGCCTCGGCTTTAGCTTTGGTATGCTTTTTGTCATTATTGCGGTCTGACCTCCCGTTGCCGCTGTCCTCCTCCATGAGACTGGCCCTGGCCTTCCTCCTCCTGCGCCTGCTCTCGGATTCGCTGCCGGAGCTGTCCTCCTCCTGCTTGGCCCTTCTCTTGTTCTGCTGGTTCTGCTGCATCATGTACATGTAGGCAATGCCTACAATTGCCAAAGCAAGCAGCACCTCCGTGAGCGTCATGATGCAAACAGCTATGAAAAGCGTACTCCTTTTGGAAGCTTGAGATAGTTCTGCTGTCAGACGGGCGCACACTCACTGCATCACACAGCCATGGACCGCACATGCCGCACTGTTCCTGAAACTGTCATGTCCGTCTGAAGCACCGAGCTTAAAAGTGCCACTGCCCAGCCTCCAGTGAGCATGTTGGTGTGCTCGTCCGTCGCGCTTCTAGGTGAGGAGTACGTAGGCCTTTCGTGCTAGAGACATCACCGCCGAGCTTAAGACGTGCCACTTCCCAGCCTCCAGTCAGCATGTGCCATGAACCTCACATCGCCCCTTTATCATCCCAGCAGGTTCATGGTGCGGGACGAGGTACCTACCAGTCCCGCACCATGAACCTTCTGGGATGATGTAGCCACCGTCAAGACCTTCCTGCACCTTAGTGCAGGTCGGAAGCGACAGAAGCTCGAGTCGCTCCAGCTCCTGTCGCTTCCGACCTGCAGGTCACAACCGCAACAGCAAGAGCGACATAATATTGTTTCGGACCGTCCATGTGGGAGTCGGTCCTGCTTGTAGGTCTCGAGGAATACGTTGGCCTTTCGTGTCAGAGACATCACCACCCACCGTGTTTAAGAAGTGTCTGTCACTTAAGTGCAAGCACCGAACAGGCCGCCCAGCACAGGGGGGTTGGGGGGGGTGGGTGGGTTTCTCGGTGGGTGGTTGATGGATGGGTTGGGCGGTTAGGTGGCTGGTGGGTGTGAATCAGGGGTGCGGGAATTGGTTGGGGGACCGGTTCGTGGTGGGTGGTTTGGGGGGGTGGCGGGGTTGTCATGCAGGAATGGTCCCTGATGCATGCGACTTTTTTCGATGCTGCTCTTTGCTTCATGACCCATCCAGTCAGAAGTCCTAAGTCTTTCTAGGAACTTCACACGGCCACCGGGCCCATGCCCCTGTGCCACCGCATCAACCATGGAGTTCGTCGTGTTCTTGAAACTGTAAGTGGAATCAGAATCAATTTCAATAGATGTCTGGTTGTTTTGGTTAAGACTCGAATCCATGGGGATGTCACGATCAGAGCCATCAGCTACGTTATGAAATCCGTTATTCCGTCTCACTGCTTACTGCGACAATCCGTCCTCTCGGATCTGGGCGAGCGGGGTCGCTTTCCTTCCGCATCGAAGTCAGAGTCGGACTTGTGACCGCCTGGAACGCGCGAAGTTGGGGTCGCGCAAGGTTGCGGTGATGAAACCAAGGCTCGGGCTGCGTGCGGGAGAGGTCGGGGTGAAAACGAGAGTCGGGGACGTGGGATGCAAACTCTCCTGTCAGAGATGCGCATTTCACT